AAAAACCCGAAGACAGCTGTGGTTAAACGCAATAAAACGAGCGGACTGGACAGAAACGATCATCAAAAACTCGCGTATGCAGCGCACACTTCATTCAGGTAAGTTAAGGTAAATAAACTAGTGTCTTTCGTTGATAAAGTAACGTTATCTACATATTCTCATAATGCTAAATGCCCACTTAAATAGAAATGGTAACGTTAACAATATAGTTATTTCTGTCGTGATGCTGACTTTTGAGGTCATAGTTAGCAAACTTTGTCGATACAACTAATGCAGTTAGCTAACTGTTAACGTTAGATAACGTTAACATAAACGTACACTGTGGTGTCGTCTGCCTTTCAACCGTTGCAGGTTTGCAATTGTAGAAAGTACAGTGAGAAGGCCCGTGTCATGTACAGGTATTATGTTCAAGTAGTTGGATTTGCTAACTTTCACCACAGTTAGTAGCCAACGAAAAGGATAACCTTAGCTAGCTAACTACATATAAGGTAGGCTGACACTAGCTTTAATTACTTCTTCTTATTTTGTAGGACAGGCTTCTATGGATGAAGACAGCCCTGACTTCGTCCCGTCTGTGTTTTCCTATAAATGGCAGAATGAGGCCTGTGGAAAAGCTGGAGAGGTAGGTGAAATTGAGTTTCTTAATGTGGCTAGGTGAGTGGTTACCATAGGCTGTAACTCGTGTGTGCAGTCTTCCTCACTAAATCTCTGTCTTCTCTGTTTTGTTCTGCTTTTCTAAGGCTGGAAAGAAAGAGGAAACGGGAATGTTCAACAGTGGAGCAACAGGCTTCTTGCCATGGTAAGAACATTCAAAATGTTTTATGCACAGTACAATGTTTTTGTCATACATACATTTATCAAACTGCTTTGTCATTTGTTTTTCACAAATGTCTTCCAGCTAATGATGATCCAGTGACACCAGAGGAAGCAGTGGAAGAAGCTGAGGCTATGGTCCCTGAAGCAGATACAACAGTCTCAGTGAGAATATGATCAACTCAACACTGAATGTCAACTTAAGAAAAGACTTTTACCAACTTAAAGAGGAGAATGAAAGACTGAAATAGGAGCTTCAGAAATCACGCTTCTCATTCTCCACGATCAAAAACAATGCTGCACACTTTGTTTCTCACTGGGTTAACTTCAGTCATCTTCAGTTGGTTAATGTCAAAATTAAAGACAGTGTGCAGAAGCGAACTGAAAGTCTCATGCTAGAAGATCATTTATTAGTCGTTCTTATGAAACTGAGATTGGGGCTCAGTAACAGAGATATTGCATATAGGTTCAAAGTTTCTGAAAGCACAGTGTCAAACATTCTAAGGTCCTGGTTGCCTGTAATGGCAAACATCTTGAAATCCATTATTAAATGGCCAAGTAAAGGTGCTGTCCTTAAAAATATGCCCAAAAGTTTCAGGCGACATTTCAAGAGATGCAGGTGTATAATTGACTGTACAGAGATATTCATAGAAAGACCTAATACTGACTGCCAGGGCTCAAACCTGGTCCAATTACAAGCATCACAACACTGTTAAGTACCTGGTGGGAATAACACCTGCTGGGGCAGTTTCATTTCTGTCCACGGGCTGGGGTGGAGAGTGTCAGATAAACAGATAACACTTGAATCAGGATTTTTGCACTTGTTGGAGCCCAAAGATGAAATCTTAGCGGACAGGGGGTTTTTGATCAGGGATCAACTTGCTGCTTATGGTGCCACTTTGCGTATACCAATTTTACCAAAGGAAAGAGTCAGTTACCTGCTTGTGAAGTAGATTCATCCAGACAACTGTCACGTGTGAGAATACATGTAGAGAGAGTTACAAGCAGATGGAAGAGTTTCAAAATTTTGCATTCTGTTATTCCTATTTCCCAAGTTAGCCTTTTGGATGACATGGTGATTGTGTGGTGCTCTTACCAATTTGTGTAAATCTGTGGTACCCAGAAAGAGAGAGTGTGTCGTGTATGAAATATCAGTGTTGTGTGTACAACAATACTGATGATTATATGCTTTTCACTCTAATTCAATTGAGAATTGTTTTAATTAATGTGAATCATCTGTGATTGTATATACATTGTTGTTAATTGTGAGTGGAATTTTTAAGAACCTGGTAAGAAAGAATAATTAAATACAGAAGTTTTATAATTAATTTGCAGTGTTCAGAATTTATTTCTAAAAATATTTACATCTTAATACTACATTGTACTGTTATCTCATTCTTAATTTACAGGAATCATACTTTAAAATATCTCTTATGCCATTACATACATACATTTCCATACCCAATACCTTATCACCACATTGAAGGTTTAACTATTTTTGTATGTAGCCCAGTTCACTAACATGTAGCTGTAAAATAGTACTTATTCCCTGCTGAAATAGAAGCATATATCTCTTCATGGCTAACCGTGAAAATAGACACAGGTGAGTCAGGTGTATTTATCTCTGCAGCAACTGCAGTGCCAGTTCTGTAGCCTCCTCTTAACTTGTGCACAACTATAATGAAAGAAGTTTTTGCACATGCTACACTCAATCATTTTACCAAACTCTGGCTTTTCACAGGTGTTACAAAACACTGGTGGTTGAAGGGCAGGATCTTGGCTGCGGGTTAGAAGTTCTGGCAGAATGAAAGATACAAAACATTGCTTCGCTTTAGGTAAATCCTTCTGCAAGAGCTCTTCATCTCTTGAGATGCGATTTACAACCAGCTCCTGAGTTGTCCACACCACAAAATCACAGTACTGGACATTGCAGGCAAACATGTGCAGTTGAACCTGGTGGTAGTACTGGTGTGTCTTCTTTAGTTGGAATGTTTTGTCAAGGCAGAAATCCTTAGTGACTGTCACACCCTGTAGGCCTTCCCTGTATTATATGGGCATTTGATTTCCAAGACCCCTTCCCCACAGCAGGAACACACAACTTTCCCATCTGGAGATGCGCCTAGGTGCAGTTCATCAGGTCGAATCACAAAACCACATGGACTAACCGTTACATTTTGATGGGTTTTGTTGAGCTCTTTGGTGTAACGCTCCCTAGCAATTTCCTCTTTGTCTCTTCCCCATACAGCTGCTGGAACCTGTATGTTGGTGTCATTGTAGCGCATGATTTTGTCCAGGGTGGTTTTGTGCAGATGGTCACCTTTACATACAGTAAAATCTTGTGCTGGTAATCCTGCCTGCCCTATGAGTGAGCCAGTCTTGGGACTTTGCCTGCAGTTTTGTGATAGTCTCACACTGATCTGGGTGGATGTTCCTTCTCATGTTGAGATAGGCTTCCTCACATTTCTCTCTGATGTCCCCATGTGTGTGCTGTCTGAGCGTAGGGTCGTACAAGGCTGTGAGCGGCTCTGGCAACTCTGGAGGATGCTCTAGCTCAGACTCAGACGCTGTGTCAGTGTCACTGTTTTCTATGCTGGTAAGAACAGCAGCGTCAGGGGCAATCGAATACAGTTCCTGGATGTCTTCATCTGTGAGTTCTAGAAGATGAGATAGGACAACAATATTTAACGCACTTTAATGTGTGTATGTATGCATATTTATATGATTGTGTTATAAGATATTGTATTGCTTTCTTGGTTGTCTCATATCTGGTATGTAAAATGTGTTGAGATTCAACTAAGCACTTCAAAGTTTGACTGGACATTTGAGAATGAATCTTCACCTAGCAGAATAGCTCTGACCTGGTCAGGTAGTAATTGCAGCTTAATTCTTAACTCAACAAACCCTCATCTACTCTGGTACATGCCTCTAGCACTGCTATTGAACCTCCTGACTTTGGCTGGAACTGCTGCGGTCAACTGTCTTTTAGGCCTCTGGAAGTTGATCTCCCTAATTCTGGCTGGTTTGACCTCTCTCTTCGTCTGTTTCCAGAGACATTCTCCTGATGTGCCTGCTGGCTGCTCGGTCCTCCCCATCCTAACATACAGCTCCACCTTAAATAGCACTGCGGCTGCATGGCTGCAGCAAGACCCTAGACTGTTATGTCAGATGGAAAATTAAACTGAGTGATAACTTGTTGCTCATCTCATAGCATAGCTAACACACCAACATAGCTAAACACAACATAATGATGGAACATAACTATTAACAACAAATGTTTTTTTTCCATTTAAATTCAATATCAAATGTGATCTTTCTAATCTTATATTAGCTAAGTTACTCACCCAGCCATGCAAGTGCAGTTCGCGGTCAAGACGTAGTTGTTTCTTCTGTTTACAATGACCCAAGCCTGGTACATGGTCGTCTTCTGGCCTTGGCGCTGGCTAGGCAGAACTTCGGATCATACGACACAAAACTCATCTGTTAAATCTTTATTTTAAGTCTTGTACGTGACCATTCAGTACGTAGTTATAGGCATCTAAGGATTTATACGCCCTCAGTTTGTCTTTACTATACACGCTCGGTTTCTCTATCAGGTAGGTGTAGATGTCAGGCCACTCTACCGGAGGTAATCCTGTCAGTTCGTCCATCCAGAGTGAGTGTGTAGGGGTCGACCAATCTGGTTCCGTCTGTTAAAGTTAACTTTTTAAAATAATTATCACGGTCCCGGACAGTGAGTGACCTTACATATTCAGATAAAATCGGATTTTCTCCATCCATTGTTGAAAAAAAAAAAAGCTAACAACATTTGCTAGCTACCGTTGTTGAAGTATTCAGGGGAATATTTCTGCCTCCAGCTATGCCCCGCCCACACAAATATGTCACAATGTTTACCAACTGAAAAGGGGTCAATAGATCCAGATTGAGTGTCCCCTAGGGAACACTGAAAGACACCATGTTTCTTTGATGAGATAGGACTCCGACCCTGAGACTAAGATAAAAGCTGCATGACCTGTTACGCTGCAGCTCACTCGGATGATACTCTCAGATGTGTATGTGTCCCCTTGAATTCCTTCTGCAGAAGACTTGAATAAAATTCACAGAAAGACAAGTGTTTGCTTTTTCCCACCACACCGTCTACATTAAATCGACTGAAAATGCACATCTAGTGGCCGTTCATGTACACTGGGCATGCACGTGCCAGTGTAAACTTGAAGCAGATGGCGATTTGGCGAAAGAATAAAGTACTACAGACGAAGAACCGCAACAGGTTTTTATTTTGCATGGACCAATAACAAGCTGGGACTGTTACTGAATGCAACACGGGAGTTAAAAGCAGCGGTGGTCGTTTGTAAAGTCTTCCGTTTTTGCCCGTCTTCACTAAAACGCTACCTGGAGTTTAGAAACGCGAAACTGGGTCGGCAGCATTTCCAAACTTCTCCGTTTTAGTCTGGACGGGAGGTGCAAACGTAGCGAAAGGTCTCCGTTTTAAAACCAAAACACAGAAGTGTGGGAGTAATATCGTGTAAAAATTCAAGACTTGGGTCAGATAAGAAAGCTTGAACTTTTACCAACATTTTTATTAACAACAAAACAGACACCAATTAGAATACAAAAGTTCCACCGGAGTGAGTCAGAGATCGGTGCAAAATAGAGCCCCATTCTGTTACCAGAACAGAGACCCGAGTTGACATGAAAACCATGTAACGACTGACTTTCACCTCCTTTTATAGTTCTGTTTCTTGGATCACATCATCTCTTGGCTCTCTTTCCTACTGCACCTGGATCTGGGAAAGTCCAAGATTTTCACGTGCATCAGCATTTGGTGAGAAAGTCTCTGACTGTGCTGCTCCTCCTCTCTCTGTCCTTTGCATGCCCTCCGCTTGATCATACTTTTTCATCCATAACCTGACTCTTGTGGAATAAACTGGTGTTGTTTGTGCTCTGTGCTAGAAAAAGGACATTCTTACTGTGATGGACTGTATTGATGTATGTTTTGTAATACAATTTTCACAAAATCTGCTTCAGACTAGCTAGAGAGAGTACAGGTGCAGGTCATATAATTAGAATATCATCAAAAAGTTGATTTATTTTAGTAATTCCATTCAAAAGGTGAAACTTGTATAATGTATACATTCATTCCACACAGACTGATATATTTCAAGTGTTCATT